TTTGTTGTTATTGCCTCAGATTTCTTTTGTTCTAAGTGTTTTCATCGACTGTTAGCAACATTTGGTAGTGGAAGTATTAGCTTTCAATCATGATCGACGAAAAAAGTGAAACACACTTACAGTTTTCAGAAGGCATGTTTGATTTTCTGTCCTCTGTTTAAAGCACCTGCGTCTTTTCCAAAACCAGTACCAGTAAAATCTGCAACATTCTCCAGCTTTGCAGTCTTCATTTTTTTGGCACTGAATATGGAGGAAAGGCATTAGGCCCTTAGTGACACCTACTTCATACTCGCTTACTGGAAACGATACATTGAAGGGTTCGCAACTATTGAACCTGGTCCATATTTTGTAAATTTGAGAACTCGTGCATTTGCTTCAAGTGAACTTGAACTGGACTGTCCCAAATAAATATGATCATTGTATTCAAAGTTCGTTTTGATGTGTACTTTTGAGAAAAGTGGTGTTCGAAAAGCCTTGAAGGCAAAGAGATATGTGCTCAAAGTAACAAGAACATGAAAAAAAGAAATCTGTTTTCCACCTCCATTTTTCAAAGAGTTATATATAGCTTATCGCATTAAGCACGAAAAAAATGTTATACATTTTTACGATTGGTACATTTTAAGTTGATGACTTACGCGGCGCAAATGATGACGCGCATCATTTTCCTCTGCGTCTTCTAAATATTCATCTTCTACAAAACTGGGTTCAGCTGCAACAAAGACGAGAGTCATGCAAAGCGTTAAGAATAACAACAGTTTCATGTTGTTAGCGTGCTAAGGATCACAAGCTTCTGTTAGACCCTAAAACTAAGCTGTGTGTTTTTATTTCTTCGATTAAAGCTGTTTTATCACAAACGCAAATAAAAAGACAAAAAACGTCTTGGCTCGCAAAGAAAGAGCCAGGTGTCAAAACAGTGAAGCGTCAATCTTATTCAAACACTGCCAAACATTAGTTTTATCTAACTGAAAAAGTTAGAAAAAAAAAACGGAATCATTATAGAGGAAAACGGAATTAAAAAGAGGAGCACAGCCATTTTAAATTATGCACAGCATTTCAATTATGTTACAAATTGGGAACGTACTCCAGAAAGGTAACATCATGTCATCGGTTGCATTTCAAAAAAGCTTGCTGTCCTCTCGATTTCGTCTGCAATTCAGTACTTTATAAAAGACCTTTAATCAGCTGACCCGTAGGGGCACAAAAGTGTTTTTGTTCACGTGTTCAGAATATTAAAAGGTTGCATTAACATCTGAGCCAGCTGAGGGTGTTTTTCTTTTCTTCAAAATCTTATTCATGTTAGGGATGACGTTGCGGTTGCCTCACTGATGCAATGTGCAATGGCGCATCCAAGGCCAATAACAGGGCATGTGGCGTCGAAAGATCTTTCTTTACCGGCCTTAAATTTATCTAGATTTCCGTCTAGTCATAAAGATCCTCTTTTTTTTTTAGACAAAATAACACGGTCGTATCACAGTTCTATTTTGTAGAACTGTTAGGGCTAGGAAAAAAAATGTTAGTTCGCTTTGTTCCAGCTCCCTCAAGATAGCTTTTAAATCCTATCTCACGACTAGACGAGTGCCTGTCATCTGCAACTGCAAGCATATATACACACACCCTATTATTGCGCTTTTTCATTTGAATGTCCGGTGCACATGATGCAGAAGGGGTAAAATCAATTTCCTTTCCCCCTAGAAAAATTCTGAGGATATAAGGCGTGATGAGTTCTACTAAGTGAGCTCACGAGGTTTTGAGCAATAGGCTATTGCTTTTGAAAAGGACACCTTAACCCTATAACCCCTAAGAATGACCAGCGTCTAATTTCTCCTTACAATATCACCCCTTGAATCACACATTGAGGTCGTGGGAATAAAGGAAATGATCACCAACTAAAGAAGCTCCTGATTGTTCAACAAATTCTCCTTG